ATTGAGCAACCAATTGCACAAATCTCGAAAAGTATTAAGTTCACTGTTGACACACAAACGCAGACAGGGACAGCCATTTCTTCCAGTGAATAGTAACAATTGAACGAAAAAGCTATTTTTATTCCATTTCATGTTCATATTGGGCGACTCAACTTACGCGAAAAAATTCAACTTGTGTCATTGAAATCTACGATGAAACAATTGAAATGAGAAATGAAGCATTGATCCGTCTCAATATCGTTCCTCGGAGAAAATTTTTCCCTTTAAAATGAAACCACACGAAAAGTTCCGCACTACAATAAAGAGCACACAGATGAACAACGTTACTCAACATACCCCTTCATAATGCGAGTGTAACGACGTTTGCATGTGCGTATGCACGATGCTCGTACAAGTCACGTGCTATCGTAGGCCAAGCTACGACATCCAGTAAATACTCGCGACACAGCAAAATTTATAACAGAATGACGAATCGGATCTCGTGAAGAACAAATTCAGTTTCACTTTGAAACGGTACCCCCCCCCCCTCGGTCATACACCTACCAATCCATACAATAGATCTCCGACTCGATCGTTAAACATTTTGAGACGAGAACATTTTTGTCAATGATAAAATGAAAGAGATTTTCTCGTGGTGATTTACCCTAGGTTACGCGAATGTTTCGACGTAGATATGTTTGTTACGTCAGATATTTCGATATCTTATTTATCATGAACCTCAATATCAGCTTTACAGCTATGGCAACGTAATTATTGTGTCGTGCTGATTGATACAAGCATAGAATCTGAGAAAGAGACATGAAATCTCCCATTCTCTTGCAACACAGTCAACAAATATATAAGTCCCGCATGTGTATGCGCGTACAATGATAAACAGTCGCGTGCGTACGAGTGTGTGTATACATACATATACATGTAGAAAGAAAGAATGAAAGAAAGAGAGACAGATAGATAGATAGATAGATAGATAGATTGATAGATACATAGATGGATAGATAGATAGACAGACAAATAGATGGATAAATAGAAATAGGGGGAGGGAGAGAGGGGGAGGGAGGGAGGGAGGGAGGAGGAAGGGGAGGGGAGGGGGAGAGAGAGAGAGGTTGATGTATAGTTAGAGAGAGAGAGAGAGAGAGAGAGAGAGAGAGAGAGAAATAGAGAGAGGAAAAGACAACAGTCAATAACCAGTCACAAAGTACCTTTTAGTCGAGTTAGCGAGCTTCTCTCTACGCTCGGGGTCAGACTGAAACAGACATGACGCTTCATTTTTAACGCGATTCGTTAACAATTAGTCGTAGATTGATATCTTAATAGATCGAAAACTTACGAGAGGCAAAATTACTAACCCGATAAATTTACCTCATTGTTGTAGCAAAAATTGAACAGAGAAACGTAGCGAATACAAAATTGTACATTATGATAGGACTGTAGACTCCGCTGCGCTATCACGGGAACGAGAAGACTTGTCTCTCGAAATCATACGAAACACATCGTGAACGTGAAACACGAGTTTCTCATCTTCTTAAAGGAAAAAATGTTGATCGTGTCTTTAGGATTTTGCGTCTAATCTTCTCTATAAAGTCTGTATCTGACAATTAGCATTCAATAACGCAAACCGTACTTAATAGAATGACAGATATAGATGTACATGACGGATGTACATCGATCTGTAATGTACAATGTACGCAATGTAGCAATGATCGAACGTATGCGCAAACGACCGATCGTTTCATCATCCACGAGCGATTTTGCAGCACGAGTTGTGTGTGAAATTACGCGTTTTTACTTATTATCACCGGCGAATCACTCGAGGCTCGAACTTGGAGATTGTATACATGGGGAATAGAGAGGCTAAAATGAACCGGGTACCTCTGTCAAATCGATCTTCGTCGATCGAGCGTCGATCGATTTCCTCATTCCATTCGTCTGCTTCATATTGAGTTTTTCGCTCGTTCCATGTAATGGATAAAATGTAATGTTTCGTCGATGAACATTCCGAAAAGTTGTTGTACCATTGTGCCGGATGAGATGTCTCGAATACACAAGTAGTCATACACATATACATATATAAATTATTAATTTACTTATCAACGATAAGTAAATATGTGCCATATATACGGAATATAGATTATTGATGATGCCATATGGAATATAAATTATTAATTTACTTATCAAGGATAAATAAACTATTAGAGAAAAAGTAGGAAGATAATGCGATATTTTCCAACTTGTGCTGTACTTGCACACGTTTGTTTCTGATTCCTTGGATGATTCTCTATCGTCGAGATTACTCGATACTCGAAAGGCTTACAATGTTCCTGCCTTATTACTCGCTCGCATAATTACTCACTGGATCAATCCGAATAAACTATTACATAAAAGCGGCACTGAGAGCAAATTCTAGTTTTGAAATTGTCTCGTACATTTATTTTATTTGACGTTTGTAAGTTTATCTTGTGCAATAGGAAAGACAGAGGAAGAAAAATAGAAGATCAAGATATTTATTAATAACTGAAAGATTAATGTAAACAGTTACAAGATAAAGAGGTTTGAGAGGGTTTACTTGGTACTGGGCTTTTACGCTGTAAACCGTAAATAATTAACGCATATCTGCTCATTGCTCGTCACTTTTCAATATAATCGAGATGCGTGCAACGAACGAACGTGTTTATTGATGAAATGTTAATTCGATACTCGTATTCATTGTGAAGCTCATCGACGAATTAGCATATGCTTACAAGGCATAGATTCGACTCAATAGAATCCAATGCAGTGTATAGATTCCAAGTGTGCGTGCGCATGAACGCGCGCAAGCGCTCGTACTACGCACACCCATGGGCGCGCGCGCTCATATATCGTGTGTGTACCAGGTATGTCGGTAATTACTTTCCGGTTTTTATAACAGATGTCACTAGCCATAAGTATGCAATGTTATGATTTGATACATATGTCATTTTATTCTACTGACATTAACCTCAAAACTACACAAGCTACGTTCCGCCAAAATAACAGCGTTATAGATTAATAATTTTTTGAAAATGTCAAGTTTTGTGCCTGAAAACGTGCATTTGCGGCACGCATTACTTTTCTTGTCAAATCAAAAGAAAAAAGCCGCTGAAAGTCATCGTTTGCTGGTAGAGACTTACGGTGAGCATGCTCCAACCATAAGAACATGTGAAACGTGGTTTCGACAATTCAAATGTGGTGATTTCAACGTTCAAGACAAAAAACGTCCCGGTAGGCCGAAAACGTTTGAAGATGCGGAATTGCAGGAGTTATTGGATGAAGACCCAACACAAACTCAAAAACAATTGGCAGAAAAGTTGAGTGTGAGCCGAGTAGCAATTTGTGAACGATTACAAGCGATGGGAAAGATCCAAAAGATGGGAAGATGGGTGCCACATGAATTGAATGACAGGCAATTGGAAAATCGAAAAATCGTCAGTGAAATGCTGCTTCAAAGGTATGAAAGGAAGTCATTTCTGCATCGAATAGTAACGGGTGATGAAAAATGGATTTATTTCGAAAATCCCAAGCGAAAAAAATCATGGTTATCACCTGGCGAAGGCGGCCCATCGACTGCAAGGCCAAATCGCTTTGGTCGCAAGACCATGCTCTGTGTCTGGTGGGACCAGGTTGGTGTCGTATATTATGAACTGTTGAAACCTGGAGAAACAGTTAATACTGATCGCTACCAACAACAAATGATCAATTTGAACTGTTCATTGATCGAAAAACGTCCACAATACGCTCAAAGACATGATAAGGTGATTTTGCAGCATGACAACGCGCCGTCTCATACAGCAAAACCAGAAGTGTTGGAAGAAGTGTTGAAATCACTTGGATGGGAAGTTTTATCGCACCCGCCGTACTCTCCAGACCTGGCTCCATCCGACTACCACCTTTTCGCATCGATGGGGCACGCGCTTGCAGAGCAGTACTTCGCCGATTTCGAAGAAGTTAAAAAATGGCTCGATGAATGGTTTAGCTCAAAGGAGAAACAGTTCTTTTGAAATGGCATCCATAAATTGCCTGAGAGATGGGCAAAATGTATAGAATCAAATGGCCAATACTTTGAATAAATATATTTTAACTATCCATTGTAAATAACGTGTTTTCTTTAGCGAAAAAACCGGAAAGGAATTACCGACACACCTGGTATATATATATATATATATATATATATATATATATATATATCTGTATGAATGCGTGTTGGTTAAAATTATTAATCACCAAGCATGCGCCCTAGAATGCGCGCGAAAGAAAGAAAGGAAAGAGAAAAAAGAAAAAAAAGAAAGAAAGAAAATGGTAAGGAAGAAGACGAGAAATGAGTGTAGGAAGGAAAAGAAGAAAGGTAATGGAAAAAGAATCGAATCGTGCTTCATGAAGTAATGAAAGCATATTTCGACAAGACATTGCAATCCGATGACTCGCTTGAAACTTTAGAAAGCATGAGCCTCTAAAGTCTCAAGGAAGCAGCGTCTTTCTAAAGAAGAAGAAAAAATTCCGGTCACTATCCGTAAAGAAGTAAAGAAGGAAGAAACATTCTTCTTCCCTGAGCGTTTAAATTGTTTAAAGATAAGCTGATATTCAGGAATTTTCATGAGCTGCAGCTGCTTATGAATACGCAGCAAAATCTGTGTTTTCTTTTTCATCACCGGAACATGCCCTTATGATTTTATCATGATCGTATGATTAATTACTTCGAATTACAATAATTGGAAAAATGATTTTCTCGCAACTTACGTATATATTTTCAACTTTTTCCTCATCAACACGACCGTCGTCAACAATCCCTGACAAATTATTCTTCGAAAGAAAGCACCGTCTGTCTCTACGATTGTAATCGACGTAATATCTATATGTCTCATCCACCACTCGCCTCCCTCCCGCCCCATGTAAACCACCGGCTAGTTTAGACCATGTATTTAGATTCAAGTAGTTTTCAACATTATAAATTAGGCAATCCGTAGGTTTGCAAACTGATAAATACATAC